TGTGTGTGTGTGTGTGTGTGTGTGTGTGTGTGTGTGTGTGTGTGTGTTGCAGAGCTCACGTGGTCTCCAGCTGCAGGCAAAGAGCTCGGCGAGGTCAAACTGTCGATCTCCTACAAGAACGACAAGCTCTTCATCATGGTGATGCACATACGAGGCCTGGTCAGTCAGAGTGTGCGTGCGTGCGTGCGTGTGTGTTTATTCAGACGTGTTGCTAGTTAACCGTCTGGTGACTCGACGCACAGTTAAGACTTCACCGTTGTGAACTGTTTGTTATTATAACAATGCTCAAAGTCATGTTTTCTTACTCTGGTGCTTTGATTGGCTGTTGCATTAATAGTGTGTGTGTGTGTGTGTGTGTGTTTGTGCAGCAGCCCCTGCAGGACGGCACAGACCCGGACCCCTACGTGAAGCTGTACCTCCTCCCAGACCCGCAGAAGACCAGCAAGAGGAAGACCAAGGCGGCTCGACGCACCTGTAACCCGACCTACAACGAGATGGTAACAGACAGGAAGTACAGATAAAGATAATTCACCTCGACAGCAGCCATGTTTGTTGTTTATGTTCATAATGATCATTTTGGGAGGGTTGCTTTCATTGGATAAGAGTTGTTAACACCGGGGGGGTTTTTAAGTTGGATAAGCTTTAAAAATATACCGTACCGTCTAGCTAGTCTCTCAAGATTACCAACCTTTAGTGTGAAAACAAATATTCATGCAGCTAAATAAAGAAACATATTTCAGTCTGTTCCTCTCTCTCCCATCCCGACCCTCCAGCTGGTGTACGAGCGGATCCCCCGGGGGGACCTGGACCAGAGGGTGATCCACCTGCGGGTCCTCGGTGACGGGTCTTTCTGGGAGAACACCCTGCTGGGCGAGACCTTCATCCCTCTGAAGACGCTGGTCCCGGGTCAGCACTGGGTGGACTGGCACCAGCTGGGCGCCGCCGGCTCAGACTCCGCCCACTGACGGACCGGGAAGCGGTGGATTTAAAAAGGGAGAGAAGAAGAGAACCAGTTCTCCTCAGGAGGACGGAAGAAGAAAAAAGGAAAGTCCTTTCAAAGTAAAAGCCGTGTGGCTGATCCTCCCTCTGTGTGTGAGGGAGTTTAAGGTTAAAGCAGCAGTTTAACTTCACTAATGTCATTTTTAGAATGTTTGGTTTGTTTTAAAGACAAAATCTGAACTTTTATTGAAAATTATTTGAATTTATTTTCATGATCAGGTCCTTTTTAAACTTTAAAAATGTCTGGTGATGTGATTACAAACAAACTGAACAATGAAGTCACTTAAAAGTTAAACTAACTCACTAGTTCTTCTGTTAGCTTCAGATTCAATGAACAATTAATGGAATCATTTCTCTCACTGAAAGAAGAAAAACGGATGAGAAGTTAAAGATTAATATAATGATGATTACAATTAAAATATTTAGTTTCTCACACACACACACACACAGGTGCATGCTGGGAAATTAAGACGTTTATCAGCAGAAACAAAAGTTCAGAAGTTGGTTCACATTTCACACATTTTTTTTTAATTGTCTCACTTTAATACTGTTTGATTTCTGCAGAAATGATGAAATACTGAATCGTACCAGAGAGATCATTTGTGGCCAGTCGAGTCATTTTTCTTTTCGAGCTGCATTTAAAGAATATTCCAGAGACCGTTTAGTTTTTTGCAGCTTTTAGTGTCCTGAAAATAAAACCCCTCAAACGTTCGCTGGGCTTCAGTGGTAGAGACGTTTAAACTTTGTGTCTGTACGAGCAGAGCTTTAGCCTCAATGTTGCTAACAGCATATTTTTATAGTGAGGACGATTTCATTTTTCTATCTGTGGTGCACGAGAGAGAAAGATCCTGTTTGTCTCTCCGGCTCTTTGTTTCCACATTTCATACCTTAATATTTTTTTTTATCCTGTGATTTTGTACTTTTTGTTGTTTTTTGGGGGGGGGGGGGGGGTTAAGCGACCTCTCTGGATTCCTGATAATCCGGCTGCAGTGAATCTAAAGGGAGCCGAGTTTGTCTCCTGCTGGTTGTTTCTGCGCCGTAGACAAACTGAAGGAGGTGAAGCCTGCAGGAAACAAACTCCACCGATCTGCTCAGCACTCGCTTCCAAATGTGAAAACCTTGAATCTCAGCATTCTGAGAGAAGCCATGTTTCTTTTTTCTCACATATTTGAGGTGAATCGAGCCCCATTGACACTGAACTCGTATCACCAGGAAGGTCTTCTGTGATCTTAATCCCGTGCAAATCTGCCATGTCAACTTTCCTTCTAAGTCGTTAGTCAGTCAAGTTAACATCAACCGCACTCTTTTCCTAACTCTCACTCTGTGAAGCCGGAAGTTTATTGTGAAAGGACACTGTGCATGTAACGCGTTAATGTTGACATGCCGTCCCTGAGGCGTCCTGGAGTCACTCTGGTAATACTCGTCCTGTGCAAATAGGAGCTTTCTTTATATGTTTGACCCTGACGCTCTCCTGTCGTTCTTTTAAATGGATCCAATCAATCAATATTGATCACATCAGAGCTGCAGACGTTTGAGCCGCTGGTTGTATTCGGTCACTGTCGCCCAATCGGTCAGTCGATCCACAACTATTTAGATAATCAAGTAATCTTTCATGTAACGATGGCAGAGAAAGCAGAATTCTGCCTCTCAGATGTTGTGGAGATGTCCTATTAAACTGAACATCTTTGAGATAAAACGAGACATTTAAATGCCTCAGTTTAGAGGAACTGTGATGGACATTTCTTCACCATTTTAGACCAAAACTATGAATTGATGAATCTAGATTATAATCTGCAGATTAATTATTAAGAAATAAATAAAAATACTTGTTGCAGTCCTGGTTTCAAAAAAAATACTTTAAATTACAGGTGGTGTGAACATGAGATATACTCAGACAGAAAAGTGGATTTAGTGTGAGGTGGTTTAAATCATCGCCTCTGTTTAAAAAGGGCCGTTTTTTAGATAGTTTGGTAAAGCTGTTGACATGGTGACGAGAGTGATGTGCAGTGAAGGTGGCGACACACTGAGGAGACAGGAAACAGGAGCAGAATGTAAGTTCACAGTGAACTGATCTTTAAGTACTGTACAGACTCAACTTAATAATAAATGTGATTAGGTTCTTTTCCACGGCAGCGTAGTCCGATTTTAGAAGCTCTTTATGATTAATGTGTATTAATTTTATTCTGAACATGTTTTGTATTATTTGCACTACAAAATAAACTTGAATTGAAGAAAAAAAGGTTGATTTTTTTTCTTTTGACTTTTTACTTTCCTTCACTTTCCTGTTTGTTTCCTCCTCCTTTATCTCCCTGTATCTGAACATCCACTTCTGTCTCCTCCTTCCTTCCTCTAACTCATCTTCTTTGTCCCTTCTTCCCACCACCACCTCCTTTTGCTTCCTTCTTCCTCCCTTATTTTTCCTCCCTACCACCTCCTCCAAGGCCTACTCCCTTGTCCTGCTCCCTTCTTCTTTGTCCTTTCTTCCTCCTCTTCTACCTCTTTTTCTTCCTCCTCCCTCCTGCTTCGTTCCTCCTGTCTTCCTCATCCTCCCTTTATACTAGATTTAAACATAGTTATTTACTGTCGGTACATTTTGCTGAGAATACTAGTACTGGAGAATTTTAACATTGCTGTACTGGTTACTGGTGAGCAATCTTCGTCCACGGAGGAAGACCATGAAATGTGGCTCAAAGCTCTGGAAAAGGAGAAAAGATTAAAAAAAGTTAAAGCACAAACGGATGTTCTAAAGAAAAAGCATAAACAGATTTTGGATAAAAATAAACTGAACAAACAGCAGGTGGACACATTGATACTTAAATCAAACTTTCTGTCATGCTAATTGTTAAATTTGGAAAAAACGCATGTTTTGTCACCTGTACAGGTAAATCTAGTGATTTTTGTCATTTCATCAGAAATACAAATACAGTTAAAAATGAAATGTTAAATGTGATATCCTGACCGGCTGCTGGTAGCAGAGCTGTGGTCCAGATAAGAGACCATCTGCGTGGGAGGATCACAGCTGATAAACACATGGCAGCAGTGAAGACATTGGACTCTTTCGTTATGTAACCAGCAGCAGCACGTTGGACCAGTAACACCGCGACACTCCCTGGTAATAAAGAACGACGAGGTCTTTGTTGACGGTCCCTTAAATTTCTGATGAAATCCCTCACCGGAGCGAGAAGACGGACACACGGAAGAAGCGACACGGCGGTTATAAATCATACTTTTATTCGCGGAAAACGTGGATATTATTATATTAACACCGGAAGGAGATGAAAACAGTCTGAACTGAAGAACGAAGCCAACAAATTGTGGTTTTCTGATAGTATATTTCGAATTTGACGTTACTCCCAGTTAAAGCTAACCGCTAAAGCTAAGTTAGCTTTGTCCTGCTAAAGCTAGTTAGCTTGTCCTGCTAAGCTAACCTGCTAGCATCGCCCGGCAGCCGTTGGAATCCGCAGACCTCCTCCAGCCCGACCGTCGCCTTCTTCACGGATATTAAAAGCAGATAAACAAGTAAAAAATGGCTCTTCTATCATCGTCACATCGGGACTCATCCACCATGTTTTCTGTCACGAAATTCTCCACCAGAAAGAAGTCCAACCACCACTCTCAGACGAGCGTTAACGCCGCGGAGCGCACCGGTGTCACAGACGTTATTCCCTGGGTTCCTTCTCGCTGTGGAGGTCGGTATGTGTGCCAGTCAGTGTAAAAAACACAATGTTGCACTAAAAAAAACACTTTACTTGTATTATACATGGATAATAACTGCTCCTGTTGACCCGGGCTGGAGCCGCTACAAGCCTCCCACAGTTTGACAGCTGTCACATGAACTGCCGCTGAACTGCCGTCTGAGATATCTTGTTTTCTCAGGTACGTTAATGTCACATAATTTATATTTTTGCACTTTTGAGTTGAAGAAAAAATGTTGAGAAATATGAGCGGTGAGGGACATTTATCCAGCGGGCAGGGTTCGTCCTCCACGGCCGGGCGTGGAGTCACCTCTCCCGGGTTGGACGGACAGGAAAGCTCGTGGATCGGCCTGCTGCCTCGGGCCACGATGGCATTTCTGCAACGATATTTCCTGGGAAGACCACCAACCCCGAAGCGGTCTGAAACAGGAGCCGGATGGATCAGTGGGGGTTTAAAAACCAGCTTTGTTGACGAGGAAACAGGGTTTTTAAGACTGGACGACATGATGCCGCTCACACAGCACCCGGCTCCTCACCTGACATACCTGCGGTGTCAGCACGAGGGAGCATCCGGTCAACTGGAGCCGAGAGGCAGCAGCAGGGTAACGTGGTTGACCGCTGATTCTCTGCAGGAAATGGGGATTCAAGCAACCTCAGAAGAAGAAATGGACTTAAATCTCTGCCAGCAAACCCAGATTGGATACTTGTCTTCTTCTGTCGGGACTTTTTTGAGCCATGTGCTGTTGAGCTCGGAGTCATCTCAGGAAATAAAGCCCCCAGGTGGGGGTAAAAGCAGGACGTGGTGGGGCAGCTTCTGGGTGGGCGAGGAGAGCAGCAAAACAAAAGCACCCGAAACAACAACCGATCCGTTTGGGGGATGGACGCTGGGAGAAAACGCTGGACCGACTGACCTCAAAGAGGTCAACAATGGAGGCCTTCAAACAGTCCAGAACACCGAGAGGTCCACCACGGACCATCGGCTCACCATCAGTAACCACCACCTGAGCTGTTCAGGAGCTGCCGTCGCCTGCAGTGAGGCGGCACTTCCGACCCCAGATCAGGACAATGGTTACTCCAGTCTGGAGGAGGAACACTTCCAGGTTTGTCACCTGAGCGTGGCCAAAGCCCAGAGTGAAGAGCAGCAGCAGCCGGAGGAGGAAGAGGCCGATTCGGCTGAAATTAGTGCCGCCGTCAAGACAGAAATGGAGGAAGAGACCTCTGAGGAGGAAGAAAAGGAAGAGTCCGTGGAGGCTACCGCGCTCACCAACCCCGAGTGCCAAAATAAGGCCATCGCCTTCATCATGGGCTGCCCCTGCAGTGACGACGACAGCAACAGCCAATCAGATGGGGAGTCCAGTGATGATGATGATGATGATGCTGGCTTTGACAGCGAGGGCTCGTCTGATGAGTCCGACTCGACCGACGACGAAGAAGAAGATGATGACGAAGAGGACGATGAAGACAGCGAGGTGGACTCTGAGGCGGAGCGCCTGTGGAGCTCTCTGTGCCAAAGTGTGGACCCATACAACCCCAGTAACTTCACCGCCCAGCTGCACACCGTCACCTCCTCCCCGCCCAGGACCATCCCCACCTCCACGCCTCCGTCCTCCGCCCAGTCCACCCCGGCCTCCTCTCCTCCCTCTCTCCCTCCCTCCACCCTCACCTCCTCCTCCCCTCCGTCCGGCAGCGACTTCTGGGACGACTCCACCTCCGCCAGCGAGGTGGACGAAGCTGAAAGCCTCCGCCTGTTGAGCTCCTTCAGCTGCTCCTTGGACCCTTACAGCCCACTTAACTTCCAGGCAACGCTCATGACTCAAAGGCCCGTCCAGAAGGCAGGGTCCAGGACCAGGACCACCAGGGCAAAGAAGGAGGCCTCCCAGAGTCCTCCTCGCTTCCTCCGCCATAACCCGGCGTCTCCACCTGAGTACAGGAAAGAGGAGGCTGAGGAGAGGCTGGACAGTGGCTTCTCTGAACCCTCCACCTCCTCCGGCTGCTCCACCTCACAGAGCTGCAGCACGACCAAGAAGGTCAGTTTGTTTGTTTTATTCACAATTCATTCTCTCTATCTATCTATCTATCTATCTATCTCTATATATATCTATATCTCTACATATATCTCTATATCTCTATATATATCTCTATATCTCTATATATATCTCTATATCTCTACATATATCTCTATATATATCTATCTATCTATCTCTATCTATCTCTATCTATCTATCTATCTATCTATCTATCTATCTATCTATCTATCT